ATAGTCCAACGGCGAAAGAGATATCAGTGCCAGAAGGTGGCGGCTACAAGGCAGTTTTGGAGATATTGTTGAAGAAAGATCCTGAGCAACGAGCATCAGCTGAGACAACATTAAAACTATTGAAACAGCATTCCATTTATGGCGCAATTATTAAAACGTTAGAAGAAAAATTTTACAGAGTTGATGATGTATGCCACATCAAAATATCAGATGATATTCGACAAGAATTGAACAATAAAAAGCCAGTGAGGTTAGCAGTTGAAGGAATGGGGGAACAAAGAAGGTGTAAGTGTGACAGTCTATTATTCTTAGATGAAAGTTTTGAAAAACATAAATAATGTTTTTAGCTAATGCAGCACAAGCTATGACAACAGCAAATATTACCCATGCAGCAGCAAAACTGAGCATTTCATCCGGTAAAAGAAATTCGATAATACAAAATTTCAAACTATTTTTTTATTGATGAATTTTAGAAATAAAACGTACCGAATGTCGATACGGAGCAGATTGTTATCGGTTCGTTATTCTCATCAATAATATTAAATCAAATTGATACGTAAATATTTAACGTATTTTTTTAGTGACACTCAAACACATCGCCAACAATATTCTCATCCAGGTGATGCGGATTATTCGGGTGTTTTAACAAGTTATTCTAGCACAGCACATCAAAAAGGAGCAACTGGATATACTGAGTATTCAACGCACAAACAAAAACCCTTGTGTCCATACGGTGCTAATTGTTACAGGTTCGATCTCATAGAATTTTATCTACAATATTGTCACACCTGTGTCACTATTTTTAGGAAAAATGAAGAACATCGTCGGGATTATCGACATTAATAGTTAGCTCATTTGACAAATTCCAATGAACTATTTTATTTTGCAGTCGATGACACTTGTAAAATTCAACTTTGTGAAAAACTAAAAAGAGAATAGATAGTTTTTTTCAGATCTCAAAAATTGGCAGAACGAGTAGATAAACGACATAATCCATTTCTTATAATTATGTTTTGTTTCTTTAGTAACTACAGGATGCACATACAGAGTTAGTGCGATTGAATATGTCTTGTTTACTTGGGATATTTACGCAGACCAAATTTAAGTTCATGTATCCTATTGCGCTAAAATGTTTTTCACACTAGCTCTTCTTGTTGTAAAAGTATTTATTTAGGTATCAAATAGAACGTACGTGTCAAATTAATGTTTATTTTCATGATATCGAGCAATATAGCTCGCAACAAACACTGACGATCAGTGATATGTAAAGAATCGACACTCTGTAAAAGGTAGCAATCAGAAGTAGATGACTCTCCGATTTTTCCATCACAGTCACGCATGGGTACTAAGTACAGTCGCAATTACAAGCGACATAAATAGAAGCCCAATTGAATTTGCAAATCATTGAACTGTTTTATTATTACTAATACGATCGACTAGTATGACGTGAAACGCGAAGCTACAATTAGAATTCATACCTCACCCGAAATATATACGTCAATCCTGATAGATTTATACAAAACAAATTTATCCACCGTATATTCAACTTAGACAATAAATATCGTCCCTTAGCGAAATATCATACATCTTCAATAATGGTCGTCCAACAATGACCATCACAAGTCATTGATCTTTTAACATTTATGAATATTTCACTTATAAAAAGAATTAGATATCAGACTTTTTATATCTTTTCTTCATGCTCTACTTCTACTTCTAAAAGGATAAAAATGAGTTAATTAACAAAAGAGATGTAAACGAAAGATAAGAGCGCAATAGATCCAGGAAAAATGTTTATTTATTTTAATTCCGACTTTATCCATATTAGATTAGAATCGATAATCTAAAGAAAAGTCACGTATCCTTTATTTTTTGTTTGTCAAAAAGTTTTTTGTGCAAGAAGATCCGATTAATCTTATCACGGAATAAAATATTTGTAAAAGTGAAACAGAATCATTCAAAGATGATGAACCTCTTGTCAGAATCATTCAGACCTGCTGCTCTGATAAGAACAAAAAAAGGTTTGTAAAAAAATAAAAATATACGATTGTTTCCTTTATTTTTTATGATTTCTAGTCAGACTTTATTTATTCTCATTTATGAATCAATTTAATTCAAAAATGTAAAAAGCAAGCATAGCATAGCATGACTGTAACCAGTTGAATATTGCGCAGTATTCAACTACAACAACGAAAATTTACGCAGATCGAAACGTATTAAGAATTAGCACCAGTAGCCTATAAATTTGAACCTGATACAGGTGAAGGTAATGATATTAGTGCGGAAGAAGTCAAATCTGCTTTACATTTTTATGAAATTAAAACTAAACATAAGATCGACTGGGAAGGATGGAACATTTTGTCAAAAGATTCGTACAAGTATCGTCTTCTCGTTCGTGAATCACTACAAATCCTTAAAAGTGCTTCAGACTTGAACAGAACAGGTTTTTTAGTGCCCTTAGTGATCTATCCGAAAGGTTTATCGATCTTACAACCAAGAGTGAAAATGAAAAACTGTTTATTTGATAGACCACGTGCGGAGGCTGTTTGCAGTTAAATATTGCACAATATTCAACTGTTTACAGTCATGTAAGTGATTTTTGTCTTCCACTCGAAGAACAGAAAAGACAAATATATATGTTGTTTTTTTGACTTTCTCTTCAGTTATACCAAATTTTCTGTATAGTAAACTTCGTATCTCATTGTCTGATGATGAAATGTGTACATTTCGAAACGTCAAATTGTGTATAATAATAAATTAGAATGACTAGACTTAAAGCTGTTGTAAATTGTATCATATTTTTATTCAATAATAGAATTGAAGATCCGCTTGAATGTTTACGATTAATTGAATATCTGTCGATTAGATTCTCACATTCTAACCATAATAACAATATTTATCTATAAAATTAATCAAATTAGAAACAATGACCGATAAAGTTAAGCTTGGCTTCATTAATTTCAGCTTTAAAACATTTTGAATTAAAAAGTGTAATTAACAATGTAGATTACTTATTTGTTCAAAAATGGAAGTATTTACCTACAATAAAAATCAAACATGAATCATTGTAGTCCGAATCTAAACTGTAAAACTCCGATTCATAGAATTAATTTAATGGAAAAAGCTAATTGTAGTAGGTTAGGCGCCACTAATTCAAACTTACGACACTATTTTATTTTCTCAATAGTGACATAGTCAAATGGTATATTTTTGGAAAGTTTTTCTTGACTTTCATTTTTTGGTGAAAATCTCAGTAATCTTCCTTGTGTACACATGTTACGATCGTGTTCAATATTATCGACATCAGTTCAGAAAGATAGTCTTGTACAAGTTAATGAAGACAATAAAGAAAGCCCAATCAAATCATCAGTGAAGCAAGAAATATTATTAGATGCAGACATACGAGTTTTGACGACTGAAAAAGCGATTATTTTAGCCTAATGAATATTTACAAAATACAAAAGTGGATTTTACAACTAATTTTTTTCGATGAGTCGTGTTGAAAGTACGACAACCACAGCAACAACAATCGATGTTAAGAAACAAGTAGAAACGAAACATTTTTCAAAAATAATTGTTTCAGCGAATCAATCGAAAATTGCTCAATCAAAATTTTTTCCAAATACCAATTCATTGTTACCTCTTTCTCATATAAGTGGATCATTCGTCACCCAATATACCGATGTATCTGTTTCTTATCGTTGAAACTTTAAATGCAAACATGTTGTCGACAGTTTTAATTTGTCTGTTTATTCAAATTCTTATACGGCTCTAATTGGAGCTCATGGTGCTAGCTAGTAAAAGATCGATCCTCAAAGTAATGATAAATGAAAACATACCATTGTGCGGTTAATGTTCAATATTAGGCGAAAGTTGTTAACTTCTATTTCGTAATATATATTTTTATTTTGATCGACGTGCAAAACAAAGTCACATATTTTCACTATAGCGCATTAGTGACCAAATCAACAGCGTATTGTTTTAGCATGTAGAGTTATAGTAACAAATGGACCAATAGCTGAGCTTAGTTTAAACTAAGCTCAGCTATTGGTCCATTTGTATGCTTTTTCCAGTTCCTGTTCTTGAAATCCAAACAATCCAAACAGTACTCACTCCTAGTAAGGAGGAATGGTACTACCAGGCATTCGTTTTAAGCGATCCACTCGCTACCAATGAATTATTTCCCGTGTAAAATACATGGCGTATCCAATTACTACATCAATTTCTACTGTTGTTTCCAATTGCCCCAAGTGGGGTAATTCGAAATGTTCGTTAGAGCTTTCAGCAAAACACCGAGAAGTCGCTTAGGACACGGAATTTTTGAAAATTTTTAGATAGACTTATAGAGAACTTCCTCCCCTACCTACCTGTAAAAAGGGCGCAAAAAGATAATTAGGATTAACAAAGTTATACTAATTAGAAGTCCAAAGAGCCAAAAATCGTTTCCAATTGCCCCAGTTTACTAGGGGTATGACAGTTCCATATCAACTCCTATCATAGGAACTGTTGAAAAGTTCTTTTGAAAGGAGCTGATATGTTCGAGCAGCCAATAGCTGAGCTTAGTTTGTACAAACTAAGCTCAGCTATTGGTCCATTTGTTAGTTTGTACAAACTAAGCTCAGCTATTGGTC